CTTGATCCTTCCCTTCCAGGCGTGGAGTTTCAGATAGAATTGAGCATCGTCATTTTATTGATCCTTGTCTTTTAAAAAAGAAATTGTTTTGTGATACCTCTAACTCGATGCAGAAAGTTCAAGGGACCGAGTAACGTTGCAGTTTGTGGGAAAGCAATAGACACCGGAGGTTTGCAATCGGCCCAGTCCTTTTTCTCGTTTGTCTGGGGTATAGTCGTATTCAAACCCCATCTTTGTTTCGCTGGGTTTTGGCCTTGTTTTGAAAAACCCGATTGCAAGTGAGATTAAGCATCTTTTGTTTCTGCTTATCTCTTTTCGCTTACAAAGTATGTGAGTTCCGTTTGGATGTCATTGCTAAATTATCACGAAGACTCGAGGGCACAATTTCCTATCGCCACTTTCATGAATAATCTACCCTCGAGGACGACAACAATTATTCACCCTCGGCATCAAGACGAACGTACAGGAGCAGAAGTCAACACCAATCGGTTCGATAAAGAAGATGGAGTGACATGCTGCATGTTAAGGAGTGTTTCTTTCCACCTTAAAAGGGTTGCATAAATCTTTTAAGGAGGATAGTCGAGTCCGGAACAAACACATTGTGGGGTGCAGGGTCACCTTCAATTTTGATGTTCGTTCATCGTATCTTTAGAAGCTCATTTAAGACTGCCGACACGGTTAGCTGCTTGAATCGAGAGCTGACGTGACGGCCGACACTGTTTTTCGGAAGAGTCGAATGAGCTAAGTGTTCATTGTTCAGTAGTGACCGCTGGGATTGAGATTATTGCCGGTTGAGGAACTGATCCTCGTTTATTTTGAGAAGTTTTTTTTTCGATCCCATATCTTAGTTTGTTTAGTGGTTATTGTTTTGTTTTGATTAGACAAGGCAGTGGACTTGGAGCTCGAACATGCCCCTTGAGATATATTAGACTTTTGAAACCTTTGAAATCCTGAAATGGTTGAAATATATATATTGGACCCAAAATTCTCGTTAATTGGAAAAACCATTTCTTTTTT